ACGGTGTTTTTAATATACATCGAATGTCAGAGAGAAAAGCTAGTACATCTTTTGCTAAACTTTAAAATCTAAAACCAATTTTAAAACAGCCGAATTGATCATAACTCCCTTAGGTATAAAATAAGTTATGATCTAATTAATGGTATTTATTCCAGTTTATGACAGCCCTGATTTATATTACGCCGCTGAAATTAGGCACATACTTTTTATTAGGTACATTACACCAAATAATAACAGCATATACAAATAATAAATAAATAACAGCCTGACGGCTGACATTGTGCACTCCATACATTTCGTATATCTAGTTACAGCCCCATTAATTTCCGCTAAAAGAAAATAAATAACTTGTAAATTTAAACAAAAATAACTGCATTACTATGTCATAGTCATATTCATACAAATTAAAAAGCCTATATATGAGATAATGTAAAGTAAGCGTTTTTAACGTGGTATAGCCATGCTGCAGCTGTATTACTGGTGTAGTTGTAGCACGAATGGGTCGGCTCGTCCGGGGAAGGACCACGCTCTCTCAGAATACCAACGTAAAATAGCAGCTTAACGCTGCTGTGTTTCGTATGGTGAGTGTAGAGAACCGGAGACCCTTTTTACTGGAAACGAGGTATTCCATCTTTATCCTCGCGAGTGACAACGCATCTGCATTTTTGTCACCCTTATCTTAAAAAAAAAGCATAATTTTACAAGGATTACAACAAAATGTTTAATATCGCATATTTTATATAATAAAATTGATTTCATTCTTTTTAGCAGAGTTTCAAACACGACAATCGACGCGCATGTTTTTTTATGTAAGTATATCCACTGATTTCTTGGAAACTACTGAACCCATTAAAATGATCTTTTTATTTTAAATGGAATATATTGCAAGGGTTTTTCTAAATTTAAAGATTTAAGGTATTATTTAAACCACAAAGCCGTTGTAGCTCAGGGGCTAAGCGCTCGCTGTAAATTTCACAGTACGCGAGCAACCCGGGTTCGTTCTCCGCCGGCGCCAATTAAAATTTTAATTGCAATTGTGAGTGCTGATTTACCACGTGCTCGGCGGTGACGGAAAACATGTTGAGGAAACCTGCATGTCTGAGAAATAAGAAAAAATACTTCGAACACGTATTGGGGCAGCGCGGCGGACATTTCCTAGCCCTAAAATCCTCTCAGAAATAAGAGGAGGCCTGTGCCCAGCAGTGGGACGTATGCGTATATAGGCTGTAACTTTTACTTAAAACATTTAAAAGAACAAAACATTAACGTTTAGTAAAGATTAAAAACCGAATAAAATAACTTCCACAGAACAGCTTCTGTAATCAGTGCTAAGACATGCATTGGCATGCATTGGCATCTTTCGTTTGCACAATGCAAACGAAAGATGCCAATTAATTTAATCTTGCAACTTACTCCGGGCTTCCCCATAGGTTGATTGATTAATATTTTTTTTAAAACTTACTTTAATTGATTTTACTTCTCATAATTTAGCACTTATATAAACATCTATGATGCCAAATTATTCGAAATCCATTTCTAAGTAATTCTTTCTTAATATCTCATACCATTTAATGTTAACGTCCAAAAGACGAAATACTTCTACATTATACTATTTATTTATTTTTTTAAATTGAGGAATACAGTAAATTAGTTCAGTTATTAACAAATACTATAATCAGCCTATGACATAGTTTCGTATAAATTTACAAAAATAGTCTATAACAGTCCAAAATGTTGTCTGATGGTGGGTTACCATATAGTTTTCTTTGTAGGGCATATATCTATGCCCTACAAAGTCGCCGCCGAACAATGCATTGATTGGAGTGGCAAGGATGACTCGAAAAAACCAGGTAATAACGGAGACAAGAAGAAATTCGAAACATGTTGTAACTCTTGAGATATTGTAATATGTACATTATAGTTCTCACGGCAACGCATTGATTGCAAGGCACGCCGAAGTCCTTCCTAATCAGTGATAATTAAAATTTATAAGACGAACGAAATTATAATTTTACAAATTACACAACCTTGTGTAATGAAATATGTAAAAGCGCATAATTACTTGTTCTTTTGTTGTCTAAATTTGATGCGACCATAAATACTAGGGGCTTATGTTCATAAGATGGAAAATAGGTTTTATACGTTCAAACAATTTTTTTATAGGATAAGGGTGACAAACGAGCACACAATCCACCTCATGGTAAGTGGTTGCTGCGGCCCATAGACGTCTACATCAAACAAAATAAAGATGCGTTGTCACCCGTGAGGACTAAGATGGAATGCCTCATTTCCAGTAAAAAGGGTCTCCGGTTCTCTACACTCACCATACGAAACACAGCAGTGTTAAGCTGCTATTTTACGCTGATATTCTGTGAGAGCGTGGTCCTTCCCCGGTCGAGCCGACCCATTCGTGCTACAACTTAAAAAAGTCTTTATGTAATTACGGAGAATTTTTAGGTGACAATATTTATAGTTAAGACTACTAGAAATCTTATTTACGAAGTAAAAAGGCGAAAAAGCTGGAATCAGGGGCATAGCTGGGATTAGGGGCACCCACCCTATAATTAATTTTTACATATAAAACCAACATGCACGGCCGTAAGTATACCTGAGTATATGATTTTAATTCTAATTCGATACCTACACGCTTTCCTGAGATAAAGGGTCTTGACAGGCAGACGGACGGACGGACAGAAAGACGGACAAAGACGCCATCTTATGCTGCGACGTCATTAAAAAAAACTTCTGAAATTTTGTAAACATGATACCTATGTTTAGTCTTTTTACATACTTAAATAAAATAAATAAATATCCTGGACATTTCACACATAAGTAGTCCCTGATCTCCCTTAGTGTTCTGTGAAACCTACTGTACTAGGTATGGAGGCCTGAGAAATACATAGATAAGTAGGTAGTTATTTAACACCTAGACACAGAGCAAACATCAGTGTTCGTCACACAAATGTTTGGCATGTTTGGACATCGAACCCACGACCTCAGGATCCGCATCCAGAGCTACTAACCACAGAGCGAAAAGGTCAGTTAAATAGTTATTGGTTATCTACTTTTATTATTCTGAATCGGCTTCTGGCAGGCAGCACAGTTATTTAACCTACCTAAACACAATCACAACTCTTTTGGTGGTAAAAAACTGGTAGGTAGGTAGGTAGGTACTAGGTAGTTAAGTAAGTCCTTAGGTATTATTATGTGAATACCTATTTATTATCATACGTGTCGATCATGGATGAGGGGGTGCGTTTCCACTGAGGCGGTCTTTACTCCGCCCCCCTTCATTTGAGCCGGGATCACATCCGGATTAACTCATTAATATAATACCTACATAATATCGAGTTTCTAAATAGATAATCAAATATAGATAATAAAATACTCACCATCATCTTCTGATTGGAAAATTTACTCCACTCACACGATAACAAAAACCCGCGCAAACGTCTTGCCGCAATCAAATTTGCCAGTTTAATCCTCAAACGCAACGTAGCAGCTAACGCATATTTCTTACCTTCTTACTCTAACGAAATAGTTCTCTGTCACACGCAGAACGCGACGTTGCCGCTTTGTGTTTGCGTACCTATATGTCAGTTTAGGCTCTGGATCCACTTAGCTTAGGTAAATGTCGCATATAAGTTAAATATATTCTGGATGTAAGAAATCGTATTCAGTATGATTTTTTCGACCGTTGATGGACCAACAAATATTGGTCAAATCGCTGACGAGTATGTTGAAAATTAGTAACCACAGATCCACCGACGTCACACGCGCATCAAGGATTGATCAAAGTATATTATTTTGCGCGACGCAGAGCTGAGTATATACGTAAAATAGGTTCTTCTAAAAAACTTCTCACTGGAGCAACATTTACCGTGAAAGGTTCAATATATATATATATATATATATATATATATATATATATATATGTATATGTATATGACGGCACCTGCACCGTTGTAGGTGCGGTGGCGTCGGTCTAGCTAGACAGAATTCTTGTAAACGACACGTGTACCGCACACCTGCGGCATTGCACCTGCGTAGCCACCCGTCCTGCTTGTATAAAACGGACGGAGCGGCCGCCGTTAAGACAGTCTTGGCTCTGACGTGGAACGGTGCGCTTGTCGTATTCCGTTACTAGTTTATCCTCGACTCGTTGGATAAGTAATTCGTGTAAACGAATTATTATTCTTAACTACAAAATCAGTCTCTGTATTATACTCAAATATACTTCCTACATATATATATATATATATATATATATATATATATATATATATATAGAGGAAAGAGTGACAAAGCAAATTTATGTTGCAGAAGTAAACGGCAGGGTCGGGAAGGGACGCCCTAGACGAAGGTTTATCGACCAAATCGGCGATACATTAAAAATGAACCAAATTAGGAGTACCCTTAACCGACGAGCGTGTATGCGTAGATATATGGATGTAAAAGAGGCGAGAGAGGTCTGTCAGGATCGCGCCAAATGGAAGTCCGTAGTCTCTGCCTACCCCTCTGGGTGACAGGCGTGAGTGTTTATGTATGTATATATATATATATATATATATATATATATACTCATTGTCATAATATTGTGTTTAGAAATATGTAATTTATCGATTGAATTTGATTAATTGATATGTGTATATAAATAATTATTTTTGTCGGCAGACTGCTCTCCACACAAACAGAATTTGTAGGGGGCGGACTAAATTCCTTGTACAGAGCGGACAAAAACAACCGTGTATTAGCACTATAATAGTGCGCATGGTCGCACCACATCCCAGAAAGGACAGAACAACGTCTGCCAAGCCAGCTAATTTATTTATAACAAACAATGTTATACAGGAGATATGTTGTCGATTTAGGCCTTGTTTGACTGAATCCCAAGATGCTTTTGAGCACACCACTTGCCGTGGCGTATAATAAAAAAAGCTTTTAGTTATAAACAATATGTCTTTATTTTTTAACTTAATTTAAGATAGCATTACTGTAAACTAGCTCGTGGGGCACGGCGAAGTTCTGAGCAGATTTACACCTGAAAAAGAAAATAAACTATCTGTGTAACATTGTCTTGTCATATATTATGAAATACTTCTTTTTTGTACGATAAAATATCATCTTTACAGTTGCGTGTTTGATTCTCCTAGTTATAACAGGTTTTTTTAGTTATGATCTACTGGTATAAGTGCCGTAAAACAAAATTAAACTTTCTTAACTATTTACCGTAGGATAGTGCTCTCTGAATATAATTTTCTCACGATCTTGGCTATTTAAATGTAAAGTAATTACTGTTATAGCCCATCAAAAGTCCACGAACTTGGTTACTAATTGGTTTCGCTGAACATGGGCCTACCCCATAGATTTTATTTATTTATTTATTTATTCTTTATTACACTAAATATTTGTACAAAAGGCGAGCTTAATGCTATATGGCATTCTCTACCAGCTAACCTTGGGTAGAACAGAGAGTGAGTTTGGGCAGTTAATGTGTCATGATATAATTCAGTTCAAATATATACATGCAATAGATTGCCTCATAGATATCACGCTTGGTTGACGGATAGGCAACCGAAGTTTTTTTTAATTGTAATTAGGTAGACGCTGCTGCCCACCTCCTGGTTTGTTTCCCTCTGTCGCCTCTTACGCCACTTACGGGGTGATATGGGGTGGTGAACATCTCTACATCGCCAATACACGGCTAGGAAAGTAAAGTGAGTAAATTTATAAAATCCCAAATTTACGGCCATAGTGCTTTGTTACATTGGTGTGAAGGAAATAAATATACATAATAAATGCCAATGTCCAAGAGAAGACTGTTAAGAACTGATAAATTAGCAAAGAAAGAAAGTAGATAGAGACAGAGCAGTGTGACAATGGTACTATTTTAGTGACTAATTTGTTTTACTTTAAAAACTTGCTTTGTAGATTGTTCCTACCATAGGTTTGGCTTATTTCAAGCAGTAATCTGGTACTGGCTGATAATGAAGAAAAAAAAGCCTGGTCATTTGTCGGTCAAACCGACCCATTCATATTGCACCCATTATATATATATTTACTCATACAGTAAAATATAATTGTTCTCAGTGATTATGAATATCGGTAGTACAGCGTTGGATGTCAAATAATTTGATACTAATTGGTTTGTCTTTATATACTACATATGTGAGTCATTTCAGCATAGCGTATTGGTAAATAGGACTTAAAGAGTTAGTTAAGTTAGGTATTTAGTTCCTGGTACACATGAACATATTTTCGCGATATGCTTGAATGATACGAGTATATTATCTCCGAAACTGCATTAAACTCTTTATTTATAGTTCGGTGAGATTTTTGTATATAAAATTGAAGTGACAAACGAACTTACACTTACTATTACCATCAAATGGATAAGATGCCCAACCAAATAATATAATACAGTCCTAACACCTAGTCATAATATATAGTTCTATAGTTCAAATAAAATTGAGTGCCTCTACGTTTATTTCATCGGCATTATAATGTGACTGACGCGATTGGCAAATACTGATGTTATTATAATGGATGTACAATATTCTATGATAATTGAAGACTTTTATCAAAATTAGTCAAAAACATTATTTCCGCGATGCTGTATCCGCTGTACCGTGTACTAGCGAAAGAGAATTTGCTAGCATGAGTTTCACGATGAAACGAGGCGAGAGATTCATAATCTTAAAGATTGTCCATAGCAGTGACGACAAGCCATATCAAAATTCAAAATCACAAAAATTCTGTGTCACTAATGATCCTGCAAATTTTGAAATTAATAGAAAAATCCACCGAAAGTTAAACAGAGCCGAGGTTCAGCAGGAGACCATTTAGTAGCTAACATAATAAATAACATTCAGCAGACTCACAGGTCTTAGTCTTAATTAACTTAGATATATTATTTAATTGTGCAGTGTTATGGCAAATATAACTAAATATACGTATGTATAGCATATTATTCTTCTTTGAAAAAATTGTCGAACACTAAAAAACAAGATTAAGGAAAAGCCGTGTGTTTTCTTCGATAGATAGTATAGTATAATCATCTCATATAAATTATCGTAATCAGCCAATTAAAGTCCACTGCTGGACATGAGAGTTATAGGTAGGCTTATAGGGTTTTGTCTTAATAGTAACGCTTGAGAGACGGATTGACGATCGTAGCACCAGACGTCTCGCTTCTTGGACGCTGATTTTCGTCGCCAGTCTCGGTATTTTACGTCTGGAGTAAGGGTTTTTGCTGTCTGGCACATCCCAAAGTCACTTTTTACGTCACCTACGGAACTTAGTTATAATTATAATAAACAACTAGATACTCACTGACACCACATCCTTGGGCACACAGAAGTCTACCTGGATTAGAGTAAGTGACTCTATTAGACCCACAAACAGGATTATACTCGGAGGTCACTGGACAGCTCCGAATGCATTCTTGTAAGTCTGACTCTGATTGTGTATTTTGCCTGGAATAGACAAAAAGTATATGTCAAAAAATATAGTTTGGAATTTTAAATATGCACTCATAAATACTCATAAACGCTGCATGATATAGTTGTACGAGAAAAATAGAAGGGTTTCTGAGTTTCAACACTATAAAATAAATTAATATAGGATGTTAAACTTATGCTTTCTATGTACATCGTATGCATTTTAATAGAATAGAATAGAATGATTTTTATTTAATATTGATTATTACATAATACTTATTGAAAGTAATTTTTTTTATTTACCACTGGTTCGAAAAATACCTCTTTCCTGGGAAGAACCAGCAAGAAACCAGGCGGGACTTTTTTTTAAACATTTACAATAATTAAGAACAACACTTAAGAATAATATTGTTTATTCAATTTTTAAATGAATTTTCATAGAACCAGCATCCTCCCAGCTCTCCATCATAATTAATTGACTGCCGTTTAAGTTTGAAAATTAAAGAGGTATCATCAGCAAATATTACTATATCGTAATTGTCTCCTACAAGATAAGGTAAGTCATTGATATAGGTTAAAAACAGAAATGGCCCAAGAATTGAGCCCTGAGAAACATCCATTGATACTACCGATCCGGAGAAACCTTTTTAAGTTCTGTTACTTAATTATGAAATAATATGTCTAAGCGCAATATTTTTGACACCGGAATGTTGTTGTTTCCTGATTAATGTCTCATGATGAACACAATCGAAAGCCTTGGAAAGATCACAAAAAATACCTAAGGTATCTTGTGAATTCTCTCAGGCATTAAAAATATATTTCATAAGCTCAACACCGGCGTCAGACTTCGAGCTTCCTCTTCTAAAACCAAGTTAGTTTTTATGGAGTAATTTATTTGTATTAAAAAAATTTGGTAGTACAGAAATAGGTCTAAAATTAGCGGATTCCAATGTACTACCAGATTTAAATAAAGGTATTACTTTACTATGTTTCATTAAATCAGGAAACACACCAGAATCGATACAAGTATTAAAAATAATGGCAAGATGAGGTGCAATTAAATATATTATGGGCGCAATAACTGTAACGGGAATCCCCCATTTCTGCGGTTGTCTTTACATCAATGGTTTTGAAGTATTTTACAATATGTTGCGGTAGTACTTTTTCAAATCTAAATTCTTTTAAACAGTTATTAACATTTTGTTTGAGTAATGACTTGAAATGTCGAATAAGAAGCATGTTGATGCTTCTTCCCACGATTCCGCCCATTTTTGTGTTCATTTTCCGAAGGAAACATTTAATTGTCCAATGTACGAGTACCATGTCTTAACATGATGTGAAGTGCGTAATATGTTGACATGTGGGACGAATTTCATCTAGATTATGAGCATTTGAGTAATCCTTTAAAAGTAAAAGTTTCATTTAGAAGAAAACTTTGGTTACGTTTTTATTTATAGTAGAGCCTTGTGGTCGAAATTTGACCGTAATCCAATAAATTTGTAGGTTCGTATATTAAGCAAGTTATATTTCACTTTCAACTGCAATTAATATATGCGAATATTTGATCAAAGACTATTAAGTGTAATGCTTGTACTGACTTTGAGCCCTTGCCAGCATGAATATTAAGAAACGAAATATTTTATCCTCTGAGATTTTATCCTTAGAGCAGAATTACATACATTAGTATTACTCCGGGATTTTATCCAAGCGACATGTGTTTGATATTGGCAGTATTAACGTAAACAATATATTATGTTTTATTTTATTTTATTTAATATACATATTTGTAGCACATATTATACATAAATCTAATATATAAAAATTAATGTTCTTTTGTTCCTATTTTATGCGATACCATGCCTACCGTTCATCAGATTGCGCTAAAACTTTGTCAACTTATTGCTTGCACTTGCACGAAGGCTGTAGGCATAGTGCAATTAACTTTCAGTAAATGGCGCGCGTAGATGTCTATGGGCCACAGCAACCACTTACCATCAGGTGGACTGTGTGCTCGTTTGTCACCCTATCCTATACAAAAAAAATAGAATTACTTTTATTCAATATAGATTACAATACATGATACTTATTGAATGTAATTTTTTTACTTTTAGCACTGGTTTGTAAAAAAACCTCTTCCTGGGAAGAACCAGCAAGAAACCCAGCGGGACTTTTTAAAAAAAAAAAATTTACAATATAATATTTTATACAATTATTATGAAATCATTTAGAAACAGCATGATAGCGATCACCTCATCCCCAGGGGTTATTATCAGACATATACTTAATTATCAATCATTTACTCTATTATTATTATAATATTATTATATTCATGTACTATATTAAATATGAGTTATGGATCAGTAGAAGACTTAGAACGGTAATTTATAGCATTAAATGTAAAGAAACAGCCATGGGCTTAATTTGAATTACATACCTCGTACTGTAAAAAAAATTACACCAAATCTAGTATGTCAATATATAGAATGAACGAACTATGAAATGATATTTTGTTTAATTTTTTTCTTTTAACTAACCTTGATCAAAACTTTTGAAAACGTGATTGACAAATTGTCAGGTAAAACAGGTTTGACACTGGTCGTTCTATTGAAAATAAGGAAACATCGCTCTAACAAAAACTGTGAGCTATGGACGGGGTTTTGCTTGAAGTTGACCTGAGTGAACGATGCGAAGCTATGCTATACCTGAATAATTTCGTAAGAAGATATCCTCAGAAGAACAAAAGTAATTGACATAGCACAACGTACTCATGTTGGCACTCCTTCAATGATTGGCACTTTGCTATTTTAATTTGAATATTAAGAATGTTTTTCTTTTTCTATATCACAGAAACACAGATATTGCTAGGATATATAATTACTTATACTAACAACACACATTTTATTTAAAGCATCAACTATTTTCCTATGAGGGCTGTTTTAAAAATGTGCTTGGATAAATCTCTTAAAATTTAAAAAAAAGTTAAGGTTTGGTGGTTAGATTTTGAGACAAAAAAAAATTATTTTTAGGTAAGTTTGTATGCAAGTTTCTATCTATTTTTATCAATTTATGGCATTAAAACATATTAAACGTTATTTTATCGTTGTGAAAAAGAAGCATCGACTTTTTTAATTGTACCAATGACTATAATTTGTTTAAGAACATAGTCATTGGCATATAATATCACTATACTTTTTTCTTTTGTCCAAAATCTATTCTTGACACTGCCAATTACTGTATCCTTTGAATAGTGCCAATAATTATAACTGACCTCTTTCATATTTTGAATTGATGAAGAATACCGATAGTTAAAAGCGGGCGCTTTGAAAGCTATGAAAATGGTATGAAAAAATAACTGCCGCGTAAACACAGCGAATATACAGTTCCCGCTAAATAAGTAAAGTCAAAAAAACTAAGAAACTGAAAAGCCGACCTGGTCCTGACACAATTATCGATGTTACAAAAATGTAAATGATGTGGGGTTTTTGAATAAAAACCCCATACTGAACCGTTTTATAGAGGGAGAATAAAACGTCTAGAGAGAGGTGGATCATGCCTAATCGAAGTCTTGCATCATTGTTCTTTGAAGTAGACGGTAAAACCTACGACTATTTTCCCCCAATACAAAATGCGAGTAGACGTTCAAAAGTTAGTACCTAGAGAGAGGGGTATTTACTATCATAAATACGTTATTTACTTATCAGATAAAAAGTATATACAGGCAGAACTATTTATCCATTACGAATAAAACGTTTTCATTAGTCCTACAATAAAGAATGTCATTTTTCAGTGAATATTTTTGTAGATGGTCATAAGGTTTACACTTATCTTGAGCTGGCGCAACTTTGCCCAAGTCTCGCCATAATACTACTTATAGTCCTTAACCTGTATGCAACGCGACTATTGCAACAAGCTGATATCACTGCATTTCGGCCCATCAAAGATATGTGGCGTAAACCTGTCTTCTAATGGCGGACAAACAAATTTGACAAAAGGCTACTAAAACAGATGCGGGCCTATATTCGCAACACTTTTACCGTATTGAAATAAATCCACGTTATGAAATGGTTTTGAGACATGTGTGTTGTGCCCTAAATGGAGTCCAGACAAAGTGGATCACACAAAGTGTCTGATGGCCTCAAAATCCCAGCAAGCTATTTTAGATGATCACCGTTCCGTGCATATGAATTACTAAATATTTTATTAATAACGACTATTAACGACTGAATCAGAAATACCTGTATCAAATTTGCCTTGTATCCTTTCACTTAATAATGATTTATCAGTACCAAAGTGTATACAAGCTGCAAAGAAAACTAACCCTTATGTTTTTCATCAACTAGGCAGATGGGTGATTGTGGATGTCGAAGCAAACAAAAATCTTTTAGAAAGCCCTGAAAATATTTATAGAGTTTTTTCATTGCCAAATACGTATCCAAAAGCAAATAGCAGGTATATAACACCGGTATTTTGTGCTAACAAGTGAAGATTTGGAAGCAGTGGAGCTAAAAAAAAAAACAATGAAAAATTGGGCACAAATGGAATAAGCCGAATTGAATTAGTCAGCTAAATATGATATTGTTAGTCAGATAAACTGACAAACAAAACAAGATGAACAAAGTCAAAAACTCTGACATTATAATACTCTCTAAATGTTTAATCTAAAAACCGAAATAAAGGTCTATTTCTATAAAATATCAAGAAAACACGAAAGGTTTTACAAAAAAGGCACATCAAAAAAGTATCCGAAGAAAGAAAAAGACATGGTAGACCAACGAAACCGCTTTCAGATGAAGGTCTACGGAAAATATTGAAGAATATTTGTTCAAAATAAGTCTTATAACAATAAGATGGAGCTTAGAAAGATCTGGGTATAACTTTTTAAGACTTCCAACGGTGCCAATGATTGTACTTAATTTACAGTGCCATTCACTATGCTAAAGTGCCAATGATTGTAACATTCCCTAGAAAAAAATTTCATTAGATTTTAAAATTAATTAAAGATACCTTTTTAAACATAATGCGTTATTTTATTCATGTAAACTAAAATCCAATAAAACAATCAAAAATATAACAAATTTGTTTATTTACGAGAATTAACCACTTACAAGTAGAAGTCAGTTTAAAGTGCCAATTATTATACTGTTTATCTTAAGGTGAAGTGAGAGTAGCCCACCCTTACAACTCGAATACCCGACAACCAAATGGGTACAAAGTTTGTCGGGTATGCTGAAAAACATAGCATAGTGCAACCAATACTAGAAGTAAATTTTGTGGATATCAGTAGGATAGACCTATATTCTGTAGTGGACTTCTGAGATAATGATAATAAAGAATGGAAACCTACATTTTAACCCATAATTATCCTAATTTTGATTTTAGTCCGTCTGCATAGATACCACTATTCCCTATTTCTGCAGACAAATAGCAGTGCTTGTACTGTTGTGTTCAGGTCTAAAGGATATAGAGAGACGTATAATCAAATACTGTGAGGCTTTAGATACATCTTTACAGTAGCCTTCTTATTTGAATTTGGCTACAGGTGTCCATCGACTGCAGTAACCACTTACCATCACGTACACTGTATGGTTATTTGTCACTTCAGTTTTATTAAAAAAAATATATGCACAGTTAACAAAACTGGCAAGTAAAATTAATAGAAATTCCTCCAAAACTCACCCATTTTCAGTAGCAGTAGCAGTCGAAGTTCCGTTGCCTGATTGCCGTTTTATTCTCATGCCAGTGGATTCGCCGATCAGGAACACTGAAATAAATTGCCAAAAAAATTCATAAAAAATCAGAGTCACGTTTATGTTTTTCATAATGATCATTATTATTCCAGTAGGTTTGATAGGTTAAAGTCCACTTCTGAATATCCAGTAGCCTCGTATAGGATATTCACATAGTTGTCACGTTTAGCAGGCGACTTGCCACGCAGTTTTTTAATATTTCGAGTCATTCTCAGGAAAATTCTGCTGCCGATCTCCTGTTTCGGATTTCCTCTGTCGCCTCCAACGACACCAACAGGATGATAATATATGGTAGTGGACTTTCTTGCGCCGCCTATACATGGCAAGTTTTTCGTAAATAAAAATAGATTTTTAACTTTTTTTTTACATCAATTTAAAAACATTTCTCTATCACTGAAAACTTCTTAAGAATAAGTAAACAACTATGCTCAACAGTAGAGCATGTTTAGACTGTTGTAATGATATTATTTTTCATTCTTAAATATTCAAAAACTTACAATTTTAAGATACTCTATTTCTGCTTCTACCCGCGACTTAGTCCGCGTTGCTTGATATATTAACAAAGTATTCCTATATGCGAAGGAAAGAACATCAAAAAGATCGCAAGCAATAATATACTTTGCTTACAAAATTTATTTGTAAACAATGTTATTCGTTGCTCCGTTTGTTGCTAAAATATATAAATTATCTGGGTTAGTAACGCAAGAGCAAGCGACGTACAGTTGACCAAGTGAAAAACGCCATATAAAAATCGTTGTTTCTTAAAATATTAATATCTTTATATTAAATAAAGATATAGATTTTTTATTAGATAAGGGCCAAGTGTCTTTTAAATAAAACTAAGTAAACCTAATTGAAATCTATACAGTAGTATTTCCGTGATGCGTGCACAACTGCAAACCTCTATCATTTTATTTATATAGATAAGAAATAGAATCAAATAATTCCAAGTGTTTGTTGGTGCAACCGAATGCTTAACCACTCCGTTACCGACCCATAATTTTTTAAACACTATATCAGGTAATCATTATTATGCAAATAAATAACATTAATATATTATGTCGTCATTTTCCTCTGTCCGGACGAATCAAAAGTAATAATTACGGTATGATCAACATGAATCAATGGGCAAGGTGGCTGCTTGATGACAACAAAATAAATATTAACAAAAGTAACCAATAGCGGATTTGTATTGAATGGCCTTACACCCGGCCCTATATTATATTTATTAAAAATTACTCTATTTGTGAATCATGTTTGATAATAAAAAGGAAAATGTTTTAGTTTTAATTGGAATGCAGGAATTCTATCTGTTTTTAAAATATAGTCTCGTTTTAAATTTTGCTACTTAATAATTAAAAATTTTGTACTGCCGATATCAATATAACTTATTAAGAATAACTCAAAAACTATTGGTCTGACCTTGATCAAATTCATATGGGACCACACGAGAAGTACCACATAATTAAATAAAAAAAGAATCATCGATGTCGGTTCACCCAGTAAAATGTTATGAGGTAACACACATAAAAAAAACATACAGTCGAATTGAGTACAATCTCCTTTTTGGAAGTCGGCAGAAAAAACCCAGGTCTTGCGGGCTCCAACGGTAAATGATGATAATAACGATGATTTATAAAAACATACAAATTGCGATATTTTTACTTTTCTTTAAATTTACTAGATATTAAATGTTATGAACTGTTTTAATTTAATTCTTGACAGATGTTTATTAGATAGACTGTTATTTTGTACAATGCAATATGATTTATAGCGTACAGCTTCTTCCAACAAAAACATACTTACCGACAAGGAAAAACACAAACAACTTATACACTTTGTACATTTTATAATTAAAATATGTTAAATAATTTAAAATGACCGTTCGTATGGCAATGATTCGCGCCACTGCACCGACCGGTCTACGACTTCGCTTTTAAAGTCCAAGATACATTGCTGACTCGTTTATCGCGTATGTATATATGTATATATTCTTACATATTATATACATGATACTTTGTTATTTCCTTTTCGGTTGTTACCCCGTTATATTTATAGTGACGTTTTAAATATGATAAGTGCACTCCTGACCTCTCTTTAGTACTTAGGGACTTAAAACTTTTTCGACATTAATTTATTTAACAATTAATAACTACATTACATATGATATTGTAACTATAAAAACATTACACGACACAAACATACACATGTACATTTTCAGCCATAGAAATATGAAAGTGAGAGAGATAGATAGAGAGGCATACATCTATAACGTTTTGTCATCTATGTATTCCTCGACTTTAAAATAAGCTTTAGAAGCAACTCCATCATAATTCAACAAATTTACTAAATTTATTTTGTTCTCTTATATTTAAATCTAAACTGTAGTAGTAAACTAAGTTGTAGAAAATTAGATTTCGAATTACGATCATCGCGATTCGTAGCGACGGGGCATATCCTCAAACGATTTCCTTACCAACATTGAACATACTCCTTGTTTGTTCAATGTTGATAAGTATCCTTTAACATTTTTCTGGGGAATAAGCTGCTCCTGCGCGTTTTGTTCCATAACATAACGCCGTTGCTATGTCACGCGTGAGCGTCGGCAGTGTACAGTGTCTATGTGTCTATTGCTATCTTCAAATCCCATAAAGCTTACGTAAACTGGGATAATTTTTTTTTTATAGGAGAGGGGGCAAACGAGCATGCGGCTCACCTGATGGTAAGTGACTACCGCCGCCCATGAACAACTGCAACACCAGGGGAATCGCAGATGCGTTGCCGGCCTTTTAAAAAGGAGTACGCTCTTTTCTTGAAGGTCCCTAAGTCGTATCGGTCCGGAAAAATCGCTGATGGTAATCGATTCCACAAGGAGGTCGTGCGAGGAAGAAAACATCTTCTAAATCGCACAGTGGTGGACCGCCAATCATCCAGATGGTGTGGATGGTATCGGGAGTCCTGCCGCGATGTGCGTTCGTGAAATTTGGCGGCTGGGATTAATCCGAACAATTCCTCAGAGCACTCCCCATGGTAGATGCGAAAGAAAATGCAAAGGGATGCAACATTTCTTCGCAGTGCCAATGAATCGAGCCGATCGGAAAGGGCGCGGTCGTCGACAATTCGAGCCGCTCTGCGTTGGATGCGGTCAAGTGGAAGGAGCTGGCACTGGGGAGCCCCTGCCCAGAGATGGGAACAGTATTCCATGTGAGGCCGAACTTGCGCCTTGTAAAGTAGCAGGCGGTGTGCCGGCATGAAATACTGTCCCGCTCTGCTGAGCACGCCAAGCTTTTTAGAGGCCAATTTGGCCTTCCCTTCCAAGTGACCACGAAACTGCACGTCACTCGATATGTCGACTCCGAGGATAACGATACTGGCTGAGGCAAGAAGGGAGTGAGAGTGCCTTGAAACTGAGGAGATACGACAAAGGGGTTCTTTTTAGCGGTAAACGCGCAAACTTGTGTCTTCCGAGGATTAAATTGGACTAGATTTAGTCGCCCCCAATCCGAGACTTTGTTCAGCAAAGACTCGACTTCAGACACAAGTTTGTTCCGGTACTCAGCGACGTTTTCCCGAGAAATATTGGCACGGCCGGTGTATAGAGCATCACCAGTGCTGTCATCCGCATAGCAATGAATGTTACCAGTTAGCAACATATCATTGATATGCAGAATAAACAGCGTTGGTGATAGCACACAGCCTTGTGGAACACCAGCGTTAATAGGCTTGTAGTCAGAGCATGCACCGTCTACAACGACCTTGATGCTCCGATCTGTAAGGAAGCTGGTGATCCAATTGCACAATTTCTCGGGAAGCCCATAGGAAGGGAGCTTCGAAAGAAGCGCTTTGTGCCAAACCCGATCGAAGGCCTTCGCAATGTCCAGACTAACGGCCAACGCCTCCCCCTTGGACTCTACTGCCTCCGCCCATCTATGGGTCAGGTAGACCAGAAGATCACCAGCTGATCGACCCCGACGAAAACCGTATTGGCGGTCACTAATTAGCTAGTGATCCTCAAGGTACCGGATGAGCTGGCAGTTAATAATGGATTCCATTATTTTGGAGAACAAGGAGGTGATCGCGATAGGCCTATAGTTGGGTGGGTCTGAGCGGTCGCCTTTTTTAGGGATCGGGTGGACAAAAGCTGTCTTCCATGAATTCGGGACTACGCCTTGGGAGTAGGAGTACCGGAAAAGACGCGTTAGGACCGGTGCCAACTCCGGAGCACACGTCCTCAGCACAATTGGGGGGATTCCGTCAGGCCCACTCGACTTCTGGATGTCCAGGGAGAGCAGTGCTTTGCGAACCGAGCGCTGTGAGAACAGCAGATCCGGCATGGAGCACTCACACCGCGGGATGGTCGGCGGTGTTTTCCCCCCGTCATCAAGAATGTTATCATCATCAATTTAATGGTTACTGTTTGTATAAGGGGTGTCCATGTTAAATTACTGTCGATAACTGTTACAAGTAATATCGTACTTATAACAGATGTGGTTACGCAGTCTGAAGACGAGAAGAAGCATCAAATGTTGAGACATTTAAAACACGTACGTACTAGACATGGTGTAGCTATTACTACAAATCTCCCGTCAGTGAGTGGACTGTATATGGGCTGATTAAAATAAAGAAAATTTAAAAATTTTGTTACATATTAAAAATTGGTTATTATAAATATAAAAAATAAACTTAATTTAATATTAAAAATAATAATTTACAATATCTAGTACCTTTGGTTCCGCTGCGGATATCTTCAATACAAATTCTGTTACGCAAAGTAACTCTGAGCACAGCCTTCTCCATAGTTTGCAGAATGACTTTGAGTTTCATAGGTCATCGTTGCCAACACGCACACTTGCTTTATGATTTAGAGGTAAATATTGTTTTTGCCCCTCAAGACAAAGAGACTGTAAACACTCTGAGCGATCTAAATAAATTAAGTTAAAAATAATAAAATCTTAAAAAATTTAAATAAAGACAAAGTAAATAACTTACACAACTTCCGCATGGTTTCCCATGGATGAAGTAATCAGCGATATTTATTATTGAATAAAAGACATTTTACGGGTTTGATCGCGTTTAATTTAAATTAAACGCGATAAAGTCCGTAAAATTAGTTTTATTCAATGTCAAGTATTCGTGAAAATATAAGAAATCGTTATGATGTTTGTTACAAACACCATATTTTGCTTCAATATATGTTTCAGATATATTCTTTAATAATAGTGAGCATAGCATCGTCAGATGTGTTCATGGCACACCTATCCGCAACAACTCCGGATAGGTGTGCCATGAACACATCTGACGATTTAACCGTTGGCAGACACTATGTAGTCAAACTGAGCATAGTGCTAGATTTCAAATCAGCGTATTCGGGAGACTAGAAGTCATGACGTCTGCGTACAAGACGATTTGTGTTGACTTCGAACAGCATTTAAATACAACCTAGAAGGAAAATGAGCTTTAGTTCTTTATAAAGGCGTTATCGTCTTTTTTGAAAAACAAAATATTTTATTCCATTTTTGCTTCTGCTCCACGCTTGTACCGTAGTGCCAACTGGAAAATCAAAATTAAATAGCTCCTGAAGGACATTTAGTACCGATTCACCACTCACTTACTAAAGCTCTTTTGTTATTCTATCCTCACCTTCGCCATTTTGAAGATGCTGGGGAGCCATTCCAATCCCATTCAGATTGACGTCTGGAATTTATGATGTGTTATATTTTATTATCTTAATAATGTCGAATAACATTTGCACTTAATCTCGCCCAAAGTATCTAGATTTTTGTTATTCACAATATCCACATGATATTCTGCTTTGTCAACTAGCAACTTTGACGAATTGTTGATTGGGCAAAAGAACGTAACAATAATCAATTTTTTTTATACAATTAGGGTGATAAACGAGCACACAGTCCACCAGATGGTAAGTGGTTTTTTTTTTATAGGATTGGGTGACAAACGAGCACACAGTCCACCTGATGGTAAGTGGTTACTGTAACCCATAGACATCTACATCTATCCTCAATAAAGACTCAAGATGCAGATGCGTTGTCACCCGTGAGGACTAAGATGGAATGCCTCTTTATGCCAGTAAAAAGGGTCTCCGGTTCTCTACACTGACCATACGAAACACAGCAGCATTAAGCTGCTATTTTACGCTGGTTTTCTGTGAGAGCGTGGTCCTTCCCCGGTCGAGCCGACCCATTCGTGCTACAACTATACTACTAATATAGCTGCAGCATGGCTCTACCACGTAAAAACAGCATAGTGACCCATAGACATCTACATATATCCTCAATAAAGAATCAAAATGCAGATGCGTGAGGACTAAGATGGGATGCCTCTTTTCCAGTAAAAGTTCTCTACACTCACCAAACAAAACACAGCAGTGTTTAGCTGCTATTTTACGCTGGTATTCTGTGAGGGCGTGACGTATTTATCAGAAACCTTTGAGACTTGAGTCAGGTGAATTAGCGCGAAGCAACTGGAATGAAAAATTCCGCATATTTTAAGTAAACTACTAATTTAGTACGTATTGGTAGATGCGTATTAGTTGCAGAGATCATTGATAAGAGTTTATTATACATGTCTTGACTATTCATCGTTTCAATTTAATATTTTTCTGGAATGAAACTTTCTCAGTCGCCCACGCCTTGCCACTACAACTTAACAGTGCTCTAAGATGAAGAATCTTCACAAAGGTAACGTGGAAAAAACACGTTCTGTTAATCGATGAAACGTTCACTAAAATCATTATAATTAATTTCCATAAATTATTGTTAAATGCGATCTAATACAACACCAACGCGCTTTTGAAAACTTAGAATATTAAACAACTATAACGTGATT